GGCGCCGCACCTGCGCCGCCGCGTAGGGCGCCGCCAGCCTTGCGCGCCGAGGCAGGAACGGGGAGAGAGGAGTATGCTGCGTTGCCGGCCGGCCCCTCAGCGGCGAGAGGCTTGCGGTGGGGGTTCATGCGGGTGTGGATGTGGGTTTGGCTAGGATGAGTATCAAGTGGAGACCATGTCCAGGCGCGGTTGTTTGTTTTGGTGTTGTTGACATGTTGGGCCAAACGGAAGCAAATCCCAACCACTAATGTATGGTCACGTGATATACATACGACCCCCAAGTGCTACCCTCGATCCAACTATGCATGCATGCATATTCCCGCACAACCGATTAGACATGATACAGACAAGGTCCTAGAGCTTCTTGAGGCGTTCAAAGCGGGCGGCGAGATCGTCCTCCGGCGTCGACTTTTTCACAACGCGCGGAACGGCGGCTGGCACTGGCGCGGTCGGCGCAGGTGGTGCAGGTGTCTTCTCGCTCTGCTCCTGCGCAGGCTCCTTGGCGCCCCCAGTCCCGTCACTCCTCCCGGCGCCTTCCTCGTCGTCGTCGTCCAGCCCAATCTCCGCGTCCAGAGGCTCCACCCCCTCGATCTCCCCGGGCTTGAGGGCGGACACATAGTTCACACCGTAGCCGCGCGCAATCTCGCCGAGGTACGCGTCGACGAGGTCGGCAGGCGGACGATACACGGCGAGCTTGGAGAGGATGCGTGGCGGGACGCTGTCCGGCGGCGGGTCCGACGGCTGCAAAGAGAGCGCAAAGGCACGGCCGAACTGGTGTCTGTCAGCTTGTGTCGACAAATGAGTACAAAACTAACCTTGTGCATCAGCATGTCGCGCAACACCTGCAGCTCTTTGAGCTCTGTCCGAGGTGCGGCATACACAATTGCGCACACAGCGTCCGCGATGCTGGCCTCGGGAGTCTCTCCGCTACGAGTCAGCGCGTACGACTGACCAAGGCACTTACGTCGAGGCATCGAGCAGGCCAAAGCGTGCCTGGAGCGTCTCGACGTAGAGCTGGGGTCAGATCAACTACAAGAGAAAAGCAACTGACCTCAAGAAGCTCCAAGAGCTCGACATAGATGTCGTCCTGGATGAGGCCCTCTACGCGAAGGCGCGCTGTCTCTGTTCGGTTCTTCTGCAACAGGTCGGCAATGTCGCGCCGTGACTTTTTGGCCATTGCGAGCTTCTTCTCCTGCAGTGTCCGTAGGCGCTGAATGGAGAGCTTTATCTGGACCTAGATGTGTGTTAGCCGCATACGACATTGCCGGGGCCCGAGGACGTAGGACTCGCGTGACGACGCCGAGAGCTGCGCCGAGAGTTGGTAGACTCGGAGCTCTCCACGCAAGTGATCCTTTGCCCCAAGCGTCTCTCACCTTTGCTCTGGGAGCGTTCCACTGCAGCATGTTGGGCGGCATGATGCTGGCAGCACTGGCGAGTTGCGTGGAGAGGTGACGGGTAATGGGATGAGACAAGAGATGGATGCAGCCGTACAGTCGCCGCCGCCGTAGTCGATGTCGTCACCGTACAGGGGGGGCCGGGGGGCCGGTCGCTGGGCTCATGAACCGACGGAAGCAAAATGTTGACAGACTGAGTCTCGACTAGGTCGAGAAGGGCCGACACTTGAGAGTGTTGACCACTGATCATCCACCATGCACCACAAGGAGCCCACAACACATCTCTACCGCGCCCTCTTGCGTGAACTGCGCCTCGGAGTACGTCGAGCACAGCGTGTGCATCGTGTCGGGAATAAACGAGCAGAGCTGACAATCTCAGTCGCCGAAGAAGCGTGCAGAGCGCAACCCGCTCATCGGGCAGCAGTTGCGGGCAATGGTCGACGAGGCGATCCAGCGGCCGCACCCGCAGAACATTGATCGTGCTATTCTCGAGGCCCGCGACTTTTTGCGCTCGGCACGGATACATGCGGTGAGTGTGGCGAGCAGCTGGGCCGATGTATCTGGCGTCAGTTGCTGCCGGACATGATTTTATCTTCGTCTAACAAGCAGGAACTCTTGCAGCGATACAACCCGACATTGGGGATGAGCGAGGAGGAGCGCATCCACGCGACAGCGCGTCGGGTCGGCCTTGACACGCCCATCGAGTACAAGGCATAGGCGCCCCCTTGAGTCAAGTCCGAGAGGAGCCGTGGGTCCCTACTGGCGCGTCCTCTGCTGCGAGGTCAACCTGCCACCCTCACGGGTCGATGTTGCCTCGCCCCTCTCCTCTGGTCTCTAGACGTGTGCCGGCCTGTGGTCGGCTGACGTCGGTGCGAGGCGAGGCGACTTCAGCACTGCTCCGTAATTTTATCATGCATATCATTGTGATCCTCAGTCCGACACCTCGTCGGTGACCTCCGCTTGGTTTATGCCATTTCCCTGTCTGTTATGATACCTTTCCTCGGTCCTCTCCTCGCTGTCATACGGTTTGCGCACGCGATCAAGAGCTCGCTTGCTAGTTATTGAGGACTGATGGTTGGCTCGCTCCAAGCTTAGCTTGACCCTCTCTCCCTCTCGGCCGCCTGCCTGCTTGCCTGCCTGCTGGGTGGGTACAGCTGGGTGGCTCCGATGTGATCGGATCAGTCGGTGGAATTTTCAGTATTGCAGTACTTGCGAGGTGCGACGCGACTTTTGCCAGGTCTGATAACAATCTTTACACTACTCTTCTATCCGTTCTCTGCAACTCCGTCTCTGTCTCCGTCTCCGTCTCCGTTGCCGGCACACAGATAGCCCATCATGTCTCCTCCCATGTACGTCCGCCGTTTGTGACAGCGCGCAAGCATGCGCCCTCCACGTCGCTGTTTGCGCTGAGGGCGCATATCTTGCGGCTCCCCATCCTCGCCGCTGGGTATTGTCGACTGACCCACCCGCAGGCTCCGTCTGTCGTACAACGACATCCACAAGGCCATCCAGGCCTCGGCGCCCAAGATCATGGCCGACTTCTGTAAGTCCTGCGAGCCACAGCGGAGTGGCACGAGCGGGGCCCGAGCGGGGTGCGCTGCAGCGTCGGATCAGCAAACCCCCCGGCGTTGGGGTTGCAGCTTTGCAGTGGTCCCAAAGCGCATACCCATATCCCCGGCCGTAAACAGCCTGAGAGCGACATCCTGACACTTGCAGCCCCGGACCTGTTCATCGCCATTGGTGGCGGTGGTTTCATCCCCGCGCGCATCCTCCGCTCGTTCTGCAAGACATCGCAGGACGGCAAGAAGCGCAACATTCCCATCCAGGCTGTCGGCCTGACTCTGTACGAGTCGCTCGGTGGTGTGAGTGTTGGTGCAGGCTGGTCGGGCGAGCCAGCTTTTGTATCTCCCTCAACGACGCTCCATTCTAACATTTTTGCCCAGATCGAGGAGGTTGCCGGCAACGAGGTTGTGCGCGTGCAGTGGATCGACTTTTCGACGCTGGGCTCCAAGCTCAAGCACGGCGGCCTGCTCGGGCGCCGCATCCTCGTCATTGACGAGGTGGACGACACGCGCACTACGCTCGTCTACACGATCCGCGAGCTGCAAAAGGACATTGAGAAGCAGCTGAGCCTCGTCGAGGACGCGGCCGAGCGCGAGCGCCTGCGCGCTGCCACCAAGCTCGCCATCTTTGTCGTGCACAACAAGCTCAAGCCAAAGGCCGGCGAGGTGCCCGAGGGCGTGCAGTACTTTGCGGCCGTCGACACGCCCGACGTCTGGCTCGCCTACCCCTGGGAGTGTGAGACCGACATTGACGAGCACGACGCGCTCCGCTCCGAGAACCCCGCCATCTAGATTGCTTAGAATGGCACCAAAGCAGCAAGCAAACGTGCTCGTTCATGCGTCTGGCGACAAAAGCTCCAAGTTGGCAGAAGGAACGCAGCATGGCAGGTGTGCTTCACCGCATAATACATAAGGCCGTCCCTGGCCCTGTTGAATGTATGGATAGATCTAGACATGAGTGTGTGGTTGTGGTTGTGGTCGTGGTGTGGTGTGGTGGCGATTACTGCTCGGCCTCGTTCTCGTCCTCGACGCGCTCCGTCTCCTTGCCGTCCTCCCACACAACCGTACGCTTCCCCTCGGAAATGTGCACGGCCATGCGCCAAAACTCCTTGGGGACAAAGCCATTGGCATCCCCAGGCGTGAGCACGACGCCGTTGGCAGACGAGTAGACGGGAATGCTCGCGGCGAGCAGCAACGGGAGGGACAGGAAGATGTGGAGGGTAGAGTTTGGGCGGGGAACTGGATAGTCAGACGGGTAAGCACACCTCGGACTCACGGATACGGTGGTTTCGCAATGCCGGCGCGAGATGAATGTGTTGCCTCTGCATGCGAGACAGCCCTTGCTCCTCTGCGTCTGTCAGCCCGAACCACCCCAAGAAATGCACCCACTGAGTGTGTCCCACAGCTTCCACTGCGTGCCATGTACGAGCAGTCCCGCACGCCGCCGCCCGTCCTCATTGTCCAAGATCGGCTCCAGCATCGCGGCGTCCTCGACCTTGAGTGTGTGGCCCTGCGATGCTCGGATGTACCACGCGCCGCGCTGGTCGCCCTGCTCGCCCTCGGCCGGCGCTGGGAGGGCCACAAACTCGAGCTCCTTCCATGTAGGCTCGACCGTCGTGGCGTCCAGCTGTGCCGCGAGAGCGTCGACGCTCCCTGCAGCAGTTGCTCCTGTCGCCTCGCCATCCGTTGCCTTGGGCGCGGGCTTCTTCTTTGGCGCCTTCGTCTTCTTGGGCTTGGGCGGAGACGGGTCGTACCCATACAAGAGCTCAAAGCGCTTCTTGGCATTCTCATTGACGAGGCGGAATACTGTTGGCCGGTCCACCGCCTTCATCTTTGGCCGCGCGAGCTGTTGTCAGTTTCACATGGAGTGGACAGAAACTCACCACGTCGTCCAAGAGGATCAGGCCGTCCGAGCGCATGTGAAGGCCCTCCTTCTCCGCGCCGTGACGCAGAATGTACGCCATCGTCTTTGACGCTGCGACGTCGGGCGAGTCGTTTGGTCGCGGCATTGCGTTTGTTCGTGTAGCAAGTAGTATGCAGTCTTGTGAGATGTCGAGTCGTTGGTAGCTCGCCAGTTAGTGTCCAACTTGACCCCCCAAGATGCTCCCAGCACACCGACATTTTGCTTCCGTAATAACCTCATGTGTGACGCATTTTAAAGAGAACCCCCCCTTTACCAACTCTCAACAAGCCATTCACGAGCCCCTTCGCGCGAAACATCAAACCGCTACACCCCATCTCCACCCCCACCAACTCGACGACACCATGGACATGGACGACGACGACGCGTTCCTGTACGGCGACGAGCCAGCCCCCGCGCCTGCTCAGGCCGCTGCGCCCGCCGCGGATGTCGCCCCCGCTGCTGCTGACTGTGCGTTGGTGCCGAGTGCACGCGCGCGCGGTGTCTTTGTTGTTCTGAATCTTTCGGACAATACGCTGCGCGCGTTGTGATGAAGAGGGGGAACTAGAGTGCTGACAGGACACAGCGAATGGGGGTAGCAGCAACGCCATTAGCGCGTCCATGGCTGCGTGAGTTGCCTCATTCGAACATCACTAACCATTCAGCTCGCTTGCGGCGTACGGGATCGACCCATCCACTGCTGTCGCCGAGGAGCCGCTCGAGGACGGCGGCGTGGAAGAGGAGGACGAAGACGACTCTGAATCGGACTCTGATGAGGACGATATCAAGCTCGACATGACCACCGGCCCGCAGCGCGTTCTTGACCTCAGGTGGGTCTCCACCGTCATGTGCAAACCCGGTGCTAACAAGGCAGGAAGAAGCAAACACAGTCGACGGCAAACGTCTATGGCATTGGCAAGTGGGCAAAGGCGTCGACGGGCATAGCAGCAAAGCCAGCAGCAGAGCCAGCCAATACGGCGTCATCTGCGCCTCCGGCCGCGTCCCCTGCGAAACGTGAGCTCAATTCCATTGTTCCTGGCTGACAGTAGCGGCTGTCCCGGGCTTGACAGATTACACGCCAACCGAGCGCCCAGGCGTCGCGCAGCCCGCTGCGAGCGCGGCGGCAGCGACTCCTGCGGCAGATGCAAGCCCAGCCCAACCCGTGGCTGGCAACGGCCCGCCCCCCACCACTGCCCTCCCCCACTCGACTCTCGCTGTCCAGACCATTCCCGCGACCGACCCCAAGATTGACGGATCGCAGCCAACTGGCATCATCCCCTCGACTGGAACCTCTGTGTACGACGTCGATGTCGCGCAGTTTGAGGGGTCTGGGCAGATCTGGCGGCGACCGGGGAGCGACCTGTCCGACTGGTTCAACTATGGGTTTGACGAGGTCACGTACCCAAAGTACCTTCGGTACAGGCAGGACATGGAGCAGGGACGGGTCGCGCTCGCTGGCATGCCTGGCATGGGCCCGCTGCCGCCGCAGGTCGCACAGCTCCTGCACCTGCAACAGCAGGGCGCGGGTGACATGAACCCGCAGCTGCAGCAGATGCAGATGCAGCAGCAAATGCAGCAGATGCAGCAGCAGATGATGATGGGCGGCATGGACCCGGCCATGATGTTTGCCATGCAGAACCAGGGCATGGCGGGTATGATGGGCGGTGGAATGCAGCCGCAGCTGCAGCAGGGTAAGCGACAAGTGTAGTGTCGGGGTCTAAACATTCACAGGCTTTGACGGACCAGCAGACCAGGATAACAGCGTGGACGACGACGACAAGGTCAGTTAAAAGCCTGTCCGACGATTTAGCTGATATGGCAGAATGAGGAGCCTGCACCGCAGATGCCCATGCAGACGCAAAACTTTCAGCGAGGGCAGGCGGTCCCGCGCGGCGGAGCGGTCGCACGCGGGATGCCAGCTGTGCGCGGGCGGGGCGGCGCCGCGATGGGCCCGCGCGGCGGCATGCCCCTGTTGCCAAAGTCCAAGGGACGGTTCAAGGACAAGGACCGCGTCAACGACACGGCCGCGGCTGCGGCCGCTGCGTCGCTCGACTATGGGGACCTGGGCGGGGGCGACAGCGGGTCGCGCGACCACAGCCCTGCGCGATATGATCGCGACGAGCGCGACCACGACCGCGGCTCTGAACGCGAGCGCGACAGGTACGGCGACGACGACAGGTACGGCGAGCGCAAGGACCGGGGGCGGTACGGCGAGCGGGATGAGCGTGAGCGTGAGCGCGAGCGCGACCGTTATGGCGAGAGGGAGGAGCGCGGCGACCGCGACCGCGACCGCTACGGGTCTGAGCGCGAGGGGCGCAGCTCGAGCCGGCGCGAGTACGACGACCGCAGCCGAGCTGCAAAAGGACAT